ACACACACAGGATACTTACGTTCCGTTCTGAATGTCTATGGCACAGGCACAGCGGATGATGGAGGACAGGAGAGTCCATATGCCAAAGGTTCTCGCCTGAAGACCGTTTACTAAAGAATAACACATCAGGACATTTAGCACCTAAAATGACTTAACTCTGGCTGAAAATGTGTACAATTTCTAATGTTCTTTAACTACCTGCTCATATTCTTGTTTGCTACACTAAAATGTAAAAATGTATCAGTAAAAATGATAGTGTTGAGACATACAGTATTTTAAAGCATGTATACGCGTCTAAATATAGATAGAAAATAAACTCTATAAATAGAGGCCCAAAATCACTTTCACAGACTTTTACATTAAATGTTCCCTCCTGGTTGAATGACCTGCCCAACTCAATCCCAGCATCTTCAAGAAACGGCTAAAACACATCTCTTCCATCTTTATTTGACCCTCTAACTCTAACACTCTCTATTCTAATTCTATTCTTTATATAAAATTGTTTTGCCCTTTTTAGACTTGCACTCTATTTACTAACTGCTTGTTTTCTTTATAAAAAAAAACTAACACTTGCTTCTCTAATCTTTTTGTATTCTATTCATTTGTTTTCTTTTTATTTATTACACAATTAACAAAAAGCAAAAAAGGCCTCTAACACTAGCTTGCTCTATTCTTTTTCTATTCTATTTGTTTTCTTTTTATTTATTATTAATAAAAAAACAACCCTTGCTACATGTACTGCGTTAAGCTAACTGAGACTTGTTATAGCACTTGCATATCATTGCTCTTTTGTTGATTGCTTCTATTGCCCTCATTTGTAAGTCGCGTCTGCTAAATGACTAAATGTAAATACTTTCTGTGTTCATAGACAGTACATGCAATAAATAACGGTAATGCTTATCTGTTAAGTGATAATGTTAGTTAATGAGTCAGTAAAGAATAAAGGTGATGTTTATGAAGAGCAGGTCTTGACCATATTCAGGTGTTCCTGTGTAGAGCTTCTCAGACAGGAAGCTGTGATCTCTGAAGCTCTGCACTGTGTTTCCCACAGCGATCACTGACACCATGAGCAGCCAGCTCCTCAACACGTTCAGAAAGCGGCTCATCCTTCAGCGCACGTGTGTTCCAATACGTACATGTACTGTATAACTATGTACTCACAAACATCAGTCGGCGTGATTGATTTCTGTTTATCAAACCGCTTCAAGTTCACAACATCGAGCAGTCATGGACATGAATGCGGTCCAATCAGAAACTGCGGAAGACGGCTGCGTCACGTCGTACCACCACCCCATTGGATAGTTTGGGACCAGTCTTTTATAAGACCGCCCACTTCTAGGAGTTCGGACCAATCGCTGGCCGATAAGCATCTGACGATTTCTATGAATATATGATAATGTGAATAAGTAATAGCTATTGTTCTTGTAGCATTGAATCAATAAAGAATTAAAAAAAAAATTTTTTTTTAACTTGATAATTATTTATTGAGCACCGTACATGTTTATAATAAAACATTCGTTATTTTTATGGTTAGCAATGTTATATATTATTAGGCAAAATCAATCAAACAAACCAACAAACAAAAACCCTTAAACTCTAAGGTCTATAGATTTGACGTTAGTTGTTAGAGATCGAAAACGTTTTTCAGTTTTTCAGAGCTTTAAAAGAAAAAAATAAGAGTCATTGTATTTTGTTATGAGTGAGTGAAATAATTAAGCGGGTAAATGAAAGGGAATTTAATACACATAGCGCTGTCAGTCTTATTACTCGTAATTTTGCATTAAAACATTTAGCCTCTTTGGTAATATATTGCTTGTTATTCAAAAAGCTCAAACGCGAAACAAACGCGACGCATGCGCACTCAGCGGCCGCCCGTTGGTTGTAGCTTTGCACGCATGCGCACATCGGTAGCTGTCAGCTGGTTGTTATAGTAACAGGCGTCCGGAGTTTAGCGCCGGTGTGGGTTATGGAGCTAACAGTTAATAATTACACGTAGCGTTAAGAGCACTCACTGAACACAAACAGGTATGTTACTAATTACATTTAGCAGCAAACTAACTGTCTAATGTGGTGTGTTAGACATTCAAACGTTTAACGTTACTTCTTATATCACAGTCTGGTTAGCTCGGTTAGCTAACAGCTAGTGGACTCTCTTCAGTCACACACAACTAACGTTAGTAATAATCATATCTTTGCGATATTATATTTATATTACAACATTGTTAGAACGTATTTTCAGTCGTAGTAGACTGTAGTAATTGACAAATAGTAGACGAAGTAGTAAAAAAAGACTAATAAATGTCTCAGAAATGTGAAATTATAAACCAAAATTTATTCAGACACCTTCAACATTTCTCACATTATTACTGTTTATTCGCTATAGTTTAGAAAATGGTAATAAAATATGACAAGAACTCAGAGTTGAACAAATTCATCTTGATAATGTCAGATAACTTTGATAGAAAGGTATGTAATGAATTCAGCTGTTAAATTTAAGTACACAATTAGATAATACCAATCTAGCTCAACCAGTTACCAAGCAATGCTTCAGTTTGTTCAGGTTGTGGTGTAAAAAGATCGCATTAGCAATTAAAGAAAAAACACTTAAAGGTCAAAGTGTCTGAATAATTTTTGGTCCCAGATTTGATCAGTTTTACTGGTAGTCCAATGTATGAAGATTTTTTGCTTATAATATGTCACAGTTTACTTTATTTTGCTATCCTCACTTACATAAATTAACTATAGTGTCCTGCACCCACTAGTAAAAAAATATAAAAAATTATATCTTCTGTCTGAATAAGTTTTGGTTTGACTGCATATGTTATGTTTTATGAAAGTTTTATGGTTTAACCTTTTTAATTACATATTTAGGTAACTTATTATTTGTTACATTCATTGATTACTATCTTTGTAAACTACCGTCCTTTTAATTGTTATTTTCATTTTATTTTGCACTACTGATGATTTTTGCATAAATGTTGTTTTACTTTATCTTTACTGATTTTGCATGATTCCTCATCCCACACAGAGCAATGTAAAATGCATATTGTTTGATATTCATAAATCACAGTAAAGCTGTAATTGTATGATAGCTCTTCTCATGAAGATCTCACTGTTTTCCAGATGAGCTAAGTAGATTGGAGATGAGTGCTGTCACACACACATTGAGCTGACACGCACACACACACACACACTCACTCACTCACTCACTCACTCACACACACACACACACACACACACACACTCACTCACTCACTCACTCACTCACTCACACACACAGACACACAGACGGAGATGCCAGCCGTGAGAGAACAGAAGGACGAATCCGAGTCATCGTCTGAAGATGAGCCGGAGTAAGTGTCTTTACTAAAGCAGAATGCTTAAGAGTATTGATCATGGAGATTACATTCAGTTAATCAGTGAGCAGGACTAGTCACGTTACCATCATTACACACAAAACTACAGCAAGCATCAGGCGCTGCATACAGACTGATGTCATGATTTCACAGAGCTTATCGTGACTAAATATAGACGAGTCAGTTCTTAAATAGTAGCAGCCGCTCCTCAAATAGTCTAGACGTTCTGCACGTCTGTTTTCAGCCTCCCTGTGAAGTTATTAAGAGACAACCATGGAATATTTTACAGAGTGACACAAATGACAAAGGTCTGTGGTGAATGTGATCCAAACCCAAAACTTGTTTAATTCTTTTGGAGGTTAAAATACTTTTTTTCTATACCAGCTGCTGGGTATCAGTCTAATGACCCACATTCTCAAGACATAATAGTGCCATTAAGAAGATTGCAAAGATGATCATTTGATCACATTAGAAGAATTATGGGCTGTTTTTCAAAAGCTGTAGATCTACAAGTGCTCTGGAGTATTTGTATAGTGACCAGAGCATTGTAAAGAGACAGTCACTTGCAGGACACAATTAGTCTAAACTTAATAAAACCTAGGATACTTAATAATATGTTTATAATATGACTTTAATATCAGGATAATTTTTGTAATATTTTTAAATTGAGCAAAAACTCACAGATTTCATGAATTAACTTGAATTAATTAACAAAATAATAATTAATATTAAATTGTACAGTTACTGTAAATACTGTAAATCCAGCCTTACTCGAATGTACTAAATAGCAAGTCTCAACTGCTTGGTTGCTTGTATTGTTGCAAAATGTAACTATATTATTGCACAGTTCTAATTGGATCAATGCAACCATAAGGCATTATAAACACTATCATTATGATTTTCTGTAAAGCTGCTTTGAAACAATGTGTATTGTAAAAATTGCTATATAAATACATTTTACTTAAATTTGACAACTCAACTTGATGGGGATGTTATTTTTTAATTCTGTAATTAAAAAATAATAATAAGTGCATCAAATAAAATACATTTCAAATGAAAAAAGTTCAATTTCAGAGTGACATTTTAGCATTTTGTGAATGTTAAGTGCTTTTTTGAGGGGAAATGCTCATAAAAAAGGGTGCAAATATTCTTGCACAACTTTCTAAAGAGCTGTCACTGTTTGGGAAACCAGGCCTTCACTGATATATCAGTCTTTGACCGGTTTAGACTGTGTTACACTATTACATGCATGAGATTGGTCTTGTTATGTCAGGATGTAGCATTATCTGTCTGCAAAAACACACTCAGGGAAAAGTCAGTCTTTTATTTAGATTCGTTCTGCTATATAGTCTGGATGATTATTCAGACTATGATGTTCCATTATGAACACGAGCTGATAATGATTACATGCCTGTTCACAGCCTGTCTTGTTTTGCTGTCATGTGTGATGGATGGACATATATCAGTGTACCATCTTATCTCTGTTCACATATGTGACCCTGGACCACAAAACCAGTCATAAGGGTAAATTTTTCGAAATTGAGGTTTCTACATAATCTGAAAGCTGAATAAATAAGCTTTGCATTGATGTATGGTTTATTAGGACCGGACAATATTTGGCTGAGATACAACTATTTGAAAATCATTTAATTAATATCCTAATGAGTTTTGGCATAAAAGAAAAATCAATAATTTTGACCCATACAGTGTTTTTTTGGCTATTGCTACAAATATACCCCAGCGACTTAACACTGCTTTTGTGCTCCAGGGTCACATATATCACTTCAGGGTCTCATATTGCACGGGCTTTTATCAGAGTTGCTCTTTTTCCTGTAAAACATTTTAATCTTTGCATCTCTTTGTCAGAGCTGTGTAATGCAGTTAGTTGTGCATTGTTTTACTAACCACCACTTGCCTTCAGTGTTGTGTGATAATACCAAAGACTGTATATTACCAAGACGGTTCACTTACATAACTATGAATATATATCAATATAGCGGCTCTAGTAAAAGGAAGTCCAGCCTTCTAAATTAAAGAGCCAATTACCAATTGGCAAAGTCCTTGCCGTTAGAACTGAAATAAATTTGTGTGTAAGAAACTGTACATTAATGAGATGCTGTTTAAATGCAAGTTTGGCAGTTTGACAGTATGGCCGGCGAGAGAACTGACTTTCCTTGAAAGGGACTTTGGTAATATCTCAATGTCATGTAAATGTGAAATTCATCTGACAGAGGAAATAGCAGATCTCTCTTTGCGTTAACACTTGTTGTGATAGGAAACTTCCGTGCATTGCCTGGAGTGGTGTCAGCAAGAGGATTCCCGTGCTGCTCTTCTGTGCAGAAGCCGTTGTGTCCAAAGATGTGGTCATCCACTCTGTTGGAGGTACAGACACAGAGTAATCTTGTATGCCTGATACAGAAGAATTTATTAAATTGCAGCTCAAACTAATTCTGCACAGGTACACAACAGAGAAATCTAATAAGTAATTACATCAGTACTTTCATTACTGTTTTTTCTATATGTAGAATACATTAGTTTAGTACTGTCAAAACAAAACCATAAAACACACACACACACACACACACACACACACGTACATTCTATTTAATACATATATTGTTTATATGTGACCCTGGACCACAAAAGCAGTCTTAAGTGTCAATTTTTGAAAATTGAGAGTTATGTATCATCTGAAAGCTGAATGAATAAGCTTTCCATTGATGTATGGTTTGTTAGGATAGGACAATATTTGTCCGAGATACAACTATTTGAAAATCTGGAATCTGAGGGTGTCTATCTAAAATATTCTAAATATTAATATTAATAAAATATTAATAAAAATCTAAATATTGAGAAAATCATCTTTAAAATGAAGTTTTTTGATATATTTACGGTAGGAAATTTACTAAATATCTTCATAGAGCGTGATCTTTACTTAATATCCTAATGATTTTTGGCAGAAAAGAAAAATGTATAATTTTGACCCATACAATGTATTGTTGGCTATTGCTACAAATATACCCCAGCGACTTAACACTGCTTTTGTGCTCCAGGATCACATATAGACAACGAGATTATAATTTTAGTTTGAATTATAGTTTTTACATTATTCGTGTATAGTAATTCTTATCTTCTTGTACTCGCAACAGATATTAAAATATTTACTTCTTTCTAGTAACAAATAATTGTATATATAAATAGCATGTCTTGTGTTATTTAATATCTAGAGTCTGCTTTTATAAATTTGCTGTTAACTATGAGGCATTGTAGTGGGACCTCAATTCTTGAAGTGGTAATTCTGATGGGTTTTTCTTACTTTTTTTTAAAATAGAAAAATATAACTTGGCCTTCAAGATTGTGCGTACGGAGAGCCGTCTTGTTCGTGGCATGCTGGTCAATCACGGATTCCACGAGGTAGAGCATAGACATTGTTTGAAATGAAATGCTAGCATACACTGTTTGCTGCCAAAATTAATGCGAATGGAGCAGTTTCATCTTGTGTATAGAAATGATTATTTTGCATTTAATATAGTTTTATAATACCAGAATTAAAGAAAAAAAATAATTCAAGAAAAAGAGGTTTAAAATAACATCTGATATGACTTAAGGTTTATTTGGCCCACTGGAAATTGATGTTGAAGTCAAGTGCATTGCATTATGGGATTCCACACAGTGCACTTGTACATTGGCACAGTTCAGTTCATTTTAGAAACACAAATATTAAGCTACAATTCAGCTTCTTCAGAATAAGCTGTAATACAATGGTTAGTGTTTATAAAAGGGGCTCAATACAATAATTTAAGAGCGATGAAAATAACTGTAGAACAACTTTGGGACTCTACTGTATCTTTTTCATTTCTGACATTACCCTGGTCTAAAATAAGATTGTTTCTATGTTTAGGTGCACCCAAATAGCAATGATTTTAACCTGATGTGGACTGGCTCACACCTGAAGCCCTACCTTCTGCGCTCTCTGCAGGATTTCCAGAAAGTCAACCACTTTCCCAGGTGAGTCTGTCATTAGAGAGCTGTCTTGCTGTCTGCATAGGCAGCTTCCTTCTGAGGCTGGATCCCACATGAAACGGGCAAGTCTGCATGTTATATGATTCACAGTTTATTTCAATGACACTAGGGCTAGTTAGACATTAAATTGGACATAAGGTGGTTTTTAATATCAACTTTTAAATGATTTAATTATGTGTCTATTCTGCATTCAGGCTATACATTTTTTACCAGTATGTGTGTTCCTTGGGAATCGAACCCACGACCTTTTGCGCTGCTAACGCAATGCTCTACCACCGAGCCACAGGAACATAATAAAAAACCTTTTTCCATGGATTTATTCAAACATGCATTAAATGAGACATCTTTAACAGATAATGTAGTATAGCACATCTATTTAGTTGATAAACAAGTTTATGGTCATTGAATGCTTTCCTGAGATAAAAGTAACATTAAATTACATTGTTTACAATTGTTTTATTGACGTCTCTCTGCGTTTGAAAGACTGATTGATGATTACACAAAACATGATACATTTCAGTAGGGCTGGGCAATGTGACCAAAAAAATTATCACGATCATTTTTTTCATATCATTTACTATTTATTCAAGTTTTTTAAGGTATCTAACCTCACGCAAACCTCAGGCTCCTTCAGCAAAGACAAGGGCGCGTGGATCATCAAACCAGTGGCGTCCTCCAGGGGCAGAGGCATCTATCTAGTCAGCAGTGTAAGTGATCAAGGGAACATGATGTGATAAAACTCATCTGGAGCATGCACAAGTGGCTCTGTTTCAAAGATTGCCTATGTAGGCAGCATTTGAAGGCATCATAGACGTGTTTCTGACGTGAAAATCAATCTATTTCCCACAATACTATAGACTGGACAGGGCTTAGTTTGATAACTAAGGAGAACACACAATTTCCCATGAGTTTATATTAAAAATGTTTCATTTTAACTACATACGGTGACTGGTTGAAATTCTCTGACAGGAGAGGGATCACAGGTTCTCCACTGGCTTCACTCCCATTGGTAGTCGTTTTTGCCCATTTGCATAAAGGTAAAGTTTTCTCAGTTTTGTTGTGTCACTGGAGACACGTACGTTGTGTCACAAACAGTACAGCGCTGCTTGCATGGCCAGATCTGAGAAAATGCATGAGATCATGTCGCTGCAAATCACAGGCAGGCTTAAGGCAACATAACATATCATTCACAGGCAAGGCGTGAGCCGATGACATGAACTTGACAGCGTCATAAGGCCCGTTCTGACCAGATATTGAGTCTGTGACCATGAATATATAGACCAGAAATTATTAAAATGCCACTGATGGAATATATGAATGTGAAAATTTTTCTTCTCTGGTTTACTTTGAAACAATTTTTTAGAAATTGCTAGTGCATTTTGCAAAAAATGACAAAGAAACTAAAAAGTAACATCAAAATAAATGTGAAAGTAGAAAGACTGAAATAGTATTTTCTTGTAAAACATAATCCATAAATCTTTGTTCATATCCCCAAGCTTTACTACACAGTGATAGCCACACAAACTAAAAATCCAACATAACTGAACATTAAACACCAACAAGTATTTTCCTTTACTCAGAAGTACAGAAAATAACACTTAATTTCAACATTTGCTCTCCTGCTTCAGTCCATTGCGAATCATGCAGGGAGCTACAAATTTAATGCAAAAAAAAAAAAAGATTTATGTAGTCCCAATACAAATGAATTACATAAACTTCTATTTTCATATGCAGCGGACAGGGAGCATTTTTAAGCATGCTTTTCTGATGTTCACATCAATGTGCCTCTGATGCCCAAAAATGCTGTCTAGATAGATACTTGACCTAAATATGAGTCTACATTCCTATCTGAAAGAGTGTTTATCATGTTTCTGTAATCTGACAGTTTTGTTCGGTGCTGCTTGATAACACATGTTTGGTGTTTCAGCCGAGTCAGATCCCACTGGACGAGAATATTCTGGTGTCGCGCTACATCAGCAATCCTCTGCTAATTGACGGTAAGTATACCACACTGACACCAGCAGATTTAACACAGTCTGCATAACGCATGTTTTTAAATTGTGTTTCTTTTGTACATCTGCAGGTTTTAAGTTTGACGTGCGTCTGTATGTGCTGGTGACCTCATATGACCCTCTCCTGATCTATCTCTATGAGGAAGGGCTTGCCAGGTAATTCATTCATCATCCAGAGTCTGAAGTTTAGACTTTGTTTTAGCAAGTAAAAGGCCTTGTAGTATAATTGGTTCAGTGTCTTTTTGCTGTGAAATGATATGTGAATTAAAAAAGTATTTGCAAGAATAACTTTCACATTGTCAGGAATATTTAAAGATGAACACTTTCTGGACTGAAGCAACATAGGCTAGGGGTCAAAAGTTTGGAATAATTAAGTTTTTGAAAAAAGTTTCTTCTGCTCACCAAGGCTGCATGTATTTAATCGAATATACAGTATTGTACAGTAATATTGTGAATTATCAATTTAAAATATACTGTATAGCATATTTATATATTTAAAATATATAGAGAATATATAGTCAAATGTAATTTATTTCTGTGATCAAAGCTGAATTTTCAGCATCATTACAGAAATTCTAATATGTATTATCCAGACATCTTTTTTTTAAAATTTTTTTTTTTAGAAAATTCATGTTCAGATGTATCAAATGTGATCATCAGGCTTCTGAGGAGCCTTTATTTCTTCATCTCAGTCAGCATGGGATTGCATTGCATTATATGTTTGGATCATTTCAATCTCATTTTACTAATACAGATTACTGGAGATATAGAGTGACGACTGATATTTAGATCATTTTATGTCAGCATCTGCTGTACTGTTATAAAGATCTCATTGATTTGCATCACAAGCATCAGAATTTCATCATTTAAATATCAGCAACAGCAACTTCTACATAACCAGAAATATTTCTCTAAGACACTGAAATAGCACAGACACTAGATGGCAGCAGAAATGTTTCCAGTAAAGTTGGACCGGCTCAACTAGGCCTCAAACAAAGCTTTCCATCGTCTCATTGCTGGAAGGACATTGACAAGTTTTTTTTTTTTTTTACATTTAAAGCACCAAGAAAATGTGACAGCTTAAAAAACTTTTTCAAGGCAGCAAGTTCTCAGGCTTACATAATTGTCTTTTTTACCTGAAGAGGCTCCTTTTTATGATGTTTCTACATAAGCCACGAATAGTAGTGGGAACGATTTCTGACTGCTCACAATCGCTCCGACAGCCGTAACCCTGCGTTGAGCGCCTGTGAAACGCATTCAATCTAGATATACACACGGTGTCCTGCTTTTGGCACCGCGAGGAGAGCGTTTTCTCAGACATGCGAGTGAGAAGCTCAAACAAATCCTCTGATTTTTTGGATGCCGTGTGAAGTGGATGTGCAGTGTATTGTGGGCCGCTGTGGTCTGGTGTGTATAAAACGCTTGGCCTACCTCTATTAGGCTTAGGTTTGTTTTCTGCACACTCTCTTATGAACTCCTGGTGCTTTTCCCAACTCAACTTTTATCTAAAAAAAAATTCTTCCTCCACATTATTCTGGGAATGCCATGAGCTTTAGGACAAATCACTCAGATTACGGTTATAAAACTGTTTGTGATTATGCAGTATTGTCACTGTACCATCATGTGCAGTTGATGAGAATAAACAGATTAGTTAATGGACTTCATGATGGAAACATTATATGCAGCATCAGTGTAGAGCGCCGCAGTGATAATGTGTTTTGTAGGCCAACCTGTAAGTTAGCATCATCCTGGTTCCTTCAACAAAAACCCAATATTGGCTTTTGGATTACTGCAGAAAATAACTAGCAGAAGTATGATTCTTAAACATCTTGTTCATCATATGACTAGCGATTAAATGAGTTTGCGTTTTGTCTGATGACATTTATAATCCTGACAACCTCTGTACTCCCATTTAGACACTTGTTAGCAATGCTTTCTTCAAGACAAGAAAAAGCTTCCCCCAAAAATGAAAATCTGTTGAAAATGTGCTCATCCTCAGGTCATCCAAGATTAGGATGAGTTTGTTTCTTCATCAGGTTTGTAGAAATGTAGCATAGCATCAGTGTCTCGGCAATGGATGCTCTGCAGTGAATGGGTGCCGTCAGAATGAGAGTCCAAACAGCTGATAAACACATCACAATAATCCACACCACTCCAGTCCATCAGTTAATGTCTCACAAATCAATTAACGTAGACACAAATCCAGCATTAAGACCTTTTTAACTAAAATACGAGTCTATAATCCATAATATTATTTTCTTCAGTTGTCTGGTCTGAATCAGGAGAGAAATCTACACAGATCAAGCTCCGTTTACAAGCCAAGACGGTTCAAAACAGCTCTTAACAAATATATGGCTGGATTTTGATGTAAGAGGAAGCATTATTATTAATCATGAACTTGTATTTTAGCCGGAAGCAACAGTTTGAAGTTAAAAACATCTTAATGATGGATTTGTTTCTTACAAACATGCAGCTTTTGCCTTCACAAGACTGTTCCTCTATATACTATCACAAGGGGGTATAAAGTATTTTATGTTGTAAAATAAAACGTCATCCCATTACAGCGCTGCTGTTGTAGTTGTGTGATTTTGCTAGTTTTAGTTGGATGGCTGTTGCAAAACCTCTCTGTTTATGTGTCATATTAATATTAAAAAGATTTGTGGCTGGATTTGTGATGGTCGTGCCATGTTTGCACAAGGCTGCTTGCTTTGGTACAGTACCTATTTATTCTTTTCAGCAGGTCAGTTCAATGTCATACTCGCTATTAAGCAAATTTATTCCTTCTTGCTTGTGTGTGTTGTAGGTTTGCCACAGTGAAGTATGACCACGCCACGGCAAACATCAAGAACCAGTTCATGCATCTGACCAACTACAGTGTCAACAAGAAGAGCAGTGACTACGTCAGGTGAGCTCTCTCGGGGTTGGACATTTCAGTTTCCAGTGTGGATATGAACATGAATACTGAGAATATAGTCTTAGTATTAAGCACGACATTTATGTGGTAATAGGTCTGTGGGTATGTTAATTACATAATTTGAATAGCACACCCTGTCTGCATATCAGCACTGATGGATTATAAAGCGGTATGAAGAATAGAGGCTATGTTGTGCTGTGAAAATGTATAGTAAAGGGTGATTTCTCCTACCACTGTTTTACACATTCAAGTAGATTATAAAATGTCTAATAGCTGTTTTGCCTTATAGTAGGGCTATAGCACTAATATATATAGTGGAAGATGGTAACTCAGGGAGAAGAATTGTTGAATAAATTATGTTATCATTGTTTTCTTTGCGCACAAAAAGTATTCTCGTAGCTTCGGAAAATTACGGTTGAACCCCTGATGTCACACGGACTATTTTACCGATCTCCTTACTGCGTTTCTGGACCTTGATCGTGGTAATTACATTGCTGTCTATTGGAGGGTCAGAAAGCTCTTAGATTTCATCAAGAATATCTTAATTTGTGTTCCGAAGATGAACGAAGGTCTTACGGGTTTGGAACGACATGAGGGTGAGTAATTAATGACATAATTTTCATTTTTGGGTGAACTATCCCTTTAAGTCATGAAGTTACCAAAAAAATGATTAAGGCTGTCTTAAAACTGTGCATGCATTTAATGTTATATATGAGTCAGATTTAAGAACATGCCTCTGAAATGGTTTTCAAAACTTTACACTGCAGGTCTTGTTGACCAATTCCGATTTTGTGACTATAAATCCGATTTTTTGGACGACGTGCTTACATTTCTTTTAAAAGTGACCCTTTATCCGATGTGTGCATTTTACACTGCACTTGGTGAAACAAAGCAAAAATAGCATAGATGACATTACAAATCAATTTCAAAAGTACATTGAGTTTAATTTATTGACTTGGAATTAATATAGAAACCTTTTTAATGCAATAGTTACATCCATACATCAAAATAATTATATAGTACAAATTCTTCAGGACAGTAATTATGTACGCAGCTCCGCTGAAAGTTTGCGAGTGGAATAATACTGAGGTGGTAGATATTTGTTAACAGCAAGTCACAACTTCTGGGTTCGAATCCGCAGTCGTATAGTTTTTTTTTTCTCATTTAAAACAAATGCGTTCATCAGTGATTGTGTATCAAGGGCAGGGACATGTTTGTGTGCATTTTATTTTGTGGTTTCAATGGAACGAATGGGGAGAGTCTCCACTGACAACAGCTGCAACGAACACGCATCGATATTTCAAAAGCAACATTTCAGCGTCAGATCGCCTTTTATTTAACACAAACAAATGAAATGCATACTCTGCTACTCAACTAGAGATATTTCATTTATTACAGGTATGTCAAAAAACATACCTGGAAAAAAAACCCTCACTTTTCAGTGACGTAGGAGTTGCATTACATACTTTGGTTAAAATTTCTCAATGGTAATGTGAAACAACACCCTTTTTACCCGGTCAAAATCAGCTCTGTTCTCAGTGACCCTTTTCGTTGCATGTCTCTTTAAATGCTAATGAGCTCTGCTGACCGCACCCCTCTCTTCTGTGGGGTGATGAGCAGTACTAGACTGTAAACTTTAGGTGCATTTGTGTGGGACTTGCTAACTAGCACATTATTAGGAAAGGTGATTTGCAAAGATTCATAAAAAAAAAAACTTATACTCACTTCTTCTGTTGGTGAAGCTGGATCACGAATGATTTGTTTGTTGTGAAAGCAATTAAATTAATTCACTTAAATAGTATGACATTGTTATAATATGGCTAGCTGTGGAACAAGCAATATTCAGTATTAAAATGTGTGAGACTGAATCAGAAACAACTGAAACAACTGAAATTGGATTTTTGATGATTAATATATGAGTTGAGAGTTTGGTTCCAAAACGCTATAAATCCATTTTGATTAATTTGAGTAAAAATGTGTTTTCTTTACCAAGAAAGTGGCAAGATGAAAACCACAATTTTCTGTTTCAAACTTTCACATAGCATCTTTAGGTTATAATAACATAAAAAATTAAAATCCAGATTTTGATTTTCAAAGATTTATTATAAAATTGTATTATTTTTTCCCCAAAATGCAATAAATCCATGACACGTTTTTTTTTTTTTTTTTTTTCAAAATGCAATAAATCCATTGAATCAATATAAAAGTTATTTTTCATATTGAAACTGTTGAAAATACACAACATAGTAAGTTGATCCACATATGACAGCCTCTGAACTTGGTCAATACTAATCTTATATGCAGGCACTGGACTAAAAATACATTCAATCAGTCATCGCTCCCAAAATGAATTCAACGGGTCATCTTGTTAATGCTATAAATTAATTACAACAATAAAAGAACATTTCATCATGAACATACATGAACAACAATATCACATTAAACCACAGAAATTCCAAAATGACATTTCCCTTACATTCAACTAAAAACAAAGTACGAAATAGATGAGGTTGTATTCAAAGCGCCGCCATTACTGTCTAGAGTGCGTGGAATGGTGCCCTGTGATTGGTTGAGCGGATATATCGCATTCTGCCGAGAAGGGAGACTGGCATTTGTCGCGGTTTGGAAAAAAAGGGAGAAAACATGACAGAATAACTCGGCGGCGTAAAATTAAAAATGGACTTTTCAATACCGACCAGACACAATACTGATTTTAGCGGAAACTTTTTTTTTAATTAAAAAAATGGCGTTTATCGCATTTTGGAACCAAACTCTTACTATAAACCTGGTTATTGTGTATTTAAAACGATTTCAGTTTATTAGTACTATTACAGAAATCTGACCTGTTTCATTTATGTATAACTGACAAATTATTATTATTATTATTATTATTTGTTTGTTTATGTTAAACTGTGTAATCCAAGTGAATGAAAATTGTATGTGCAATTCAGATATAATTGACAATTTAGGCATGACAGTGCCTTTTAAATTCCAGTTCAATTGTTGAATTTGAATTGAGGTAGCAAAAAGAATGCAGAATTTCATTTAAGTAGAATTCAAATTCAAATTCAAAGGAAATCCATTTAACTTTTTAACCAGAAAAGCAAAGTTTGTCAAGACAGACTTTAAATGTTGACTTTATGAAGCCTTGTTTAAAAGTTTTGAAATGAAAAAAGCATTTTAAAGTGTAAAAGATACGATGTCTCAAATTTCAAAATTACCATCAAATAGTGGAAAAATATGACACATTGAAATATATGGATTATAAATCATCAAAATCTCTTTGTTACAGTATAAATGGAAGCGGTAAATGCAGAAACATTGTTGAAGAGAGTTTTTATTTTCAGTTAACATTTTATTATTTTTTTTAATTAAAAAGTCTATCTTCCTCAAACTTTGGCTAGTCAGTAAGATCAGGAAAAATTACAGTCAGCAGATCATTATTGAAAACACAATTTCCACCAATACTAACACAGGAAATGTGAGAAAAGTCTTTCCATCTGAATCTGCACAAGGTTCTGTAGCAATAATCCGTAATAGCTCTTTATGAATGCCTGGTGATATTAGAGTAGCTTGGGTTTGTCTTGTAGCAGCTCATGCCATAAAGCATCATGCGTGTTACAGTAATGAGAACAGATCTAAGCTGTCAGAAATAATAGTTAAATAATCACTTCTCATTGTTCATCACTCCTAAACGGGAATGTGTTTTCAAATACCAGCTAATCCTTGTGTTTGCTAATCATGTCAACATTGTTACGTTGTGCCCATTTCTCGGCATTGTTTTGGCAGCGCTGACAGTCACGGTTTCTCTTGCTTTCAGCTGCGATGACCCTGAAGTAGAGGATTATGGGAACAAATGGAGCATGAGCGCAATGCTGAGATATTTGAGGCAAGAAGGCAAAGACACCACATGTGAGTAGAGCTGAGATGTGCCTTGTGCAATCATATACTTTCATGTTTAACACTCCGTGACGTTTGACATTCATAACCACTAATCTGTGGATATTCTCAAGCATTTGTAGATTGACACGTTTGTTACTCCTGACGAACAGCAGCTGCTAGATTGATGTCTCACACTATGACCCCCTAAGTGGGGTTCATTTTGAGGATATTTGAAACATTATGCTTGAATGATGTATTGTTGTAAAGAAAATGTATTTCATTTAGCTAATTTCCTATGAAATTGTACTATATGTCTACTGTTGGCCGTTGTCCTTTTCCATTTACTGATCATAGCCAATGATCTGTGTCATTGATACAGCTTGAGCACTTGGTCTTCTGTGTGAACTCTGCTAAGGGCACACGGTTGAGATATGAGATGGGAGGAAAAATTATATCATGCATTCGCTGGCAAAACTTTTATTTCACTCAGAAAAGTTTTGTGTTCCCCTGAGAAACTTTGCATTTGCTTTCAAAACGTTTTGCGTTCTCTTACGATATATAAACTTTTCTTACAAATCTTTTTTTGTTCTTTTTTGCCAGCCCCCAAGAAACGCTGTGTTTGCTAGCAAACCTTTGCATTCTCTTGAAAAAGCTTTGCATTTGCTCGCAAAACTGGTGATGGAAATAATATTAGATGTGAAGAAAATGGTATTTTATTGCTTATCACAAAACTTTTTTTCCCTCAGAAATGTGTTGTTCCACCTGGAAGCTTTGCATTCACTTGCAAAACTTTTGTGTTATTTTATGAAAGTTTTGCGCTCCTCTGAGAAACTTTGCATTTGAGTGCAAAACATTTTGCGGTTGCGTGCAAAACTGGTGATGGAGTATGTAACAAAGTTCGTAAGGGGAAGAAGGAAGTGACTCAGGTAG